TTTTAACTCATCCCTCTTTCACTCATGCATTTTGTTGCTTTGTTCATGCAACCTCTGTATCTGTCAGATTGCCACAATATGTTCAGATGTTTCAGATGTTCCTTCCGGAACAATTTCCAGATGTCGAAGAATTTAGCCTGTTAAACAATGTTTTTGTTCTAGCAGCACCATGGGTGGATTCTGCATATACTTATATACCGGTGAGGCTGGACCAGGATGTGAATCTGACCTGTAAATACAATGCTGAACCCTCTCCACAAGTTGATTGGTTCTACAACAGTTTCACCATCAATGTTAGCTTTTCAGTATCACCTCACTCATGCGCTTAATAGGGGCAGCAGCAATCACAGGTAGTGCCGTAGACAGAAAATTATTAGTTCTTGTTCTTGCAACGGTATGTTGTGAACGGAATCCCTTCTCGAAAATTGTTCTGAACCAGTAGGGAATCAAACCACTCTTCTCCAAGTCCGGACGCAACGTGTTATTGCAACACCACCGATCCTTGTGCTCCGAGTTCAGCCTGGCAGCACATCTATTGTGTATCTGCCTTTCAAGGCAAGATACACCTTTTCTTCTGTTTTTCTTTGTGGCGGCTTTTCGAGGGTTTTCCGCGACACGGAAATCTCGGATCCATTGCTTCCTCACCGACCTATCCACCAATTTATTATACTGATGCAGTTAGTTTATGAAAATCATAAATGTTAGAAGGCAGCTTAAATCGTAAGTGAAAACGTTCAAGTCAAATTATTCGGATAAAAGCACGCCTTTTGGGCTTCTGAGGCGACTTCATTTTTTAGACAACCAAAAATTTTTTCGTCTTCGTTTTGCAGTTGAAAAAAATCAGCACAGAATCATAAATAACGTGAGCTGCATTACGTCATTTGCGAATTTATAGGCAAACCCTCCACCTGAACCAGGCTGTCCATGGAGGATTGCAATTTGCTGTGGTGAGTGGATCGGTGGATGGGTCATATGACGGTATAAAGCATGAGGCTATCCCAGTTACCTCATGCATGATCGGAAAGGGTAGGATGAGGTTGGGGTAGTAAGAAGGAGAGGTTATGGGAGCATTGTGAGAGCAGGTGTATCCACTGTGTGCTCATCATCGGTCAGTGCACTGGATGATCGGTAAAGAGATTAGATTTCGAATCAGCTGTAAGGAGATTAAAGCATCACTGCTAGGGGACGAAAGGGAGGAACTGTGTCATCGAATTACATCATTCTAGAATGTGGCACAGGGACATCGCTTGCCAGGCATGCGCGAAACCTTTTCACTCGAATGAGTAATGGATATTGAGGAAAATTTGCAGATAAGAAAATCTTTTACCAAAATTATCGTACTGCTTGCCTCTAATTCCGTAGCAGCTGGTCAAAATGTGAATCCTTGAGAGATGGCGAGGCCTCCTAGAAATGAAGGAATTTATTTGAATGAAAATTCATTGATGCTTAAAGTGAATTTAACCATATAGACAGTGGGAGAGCAGCTGTGAACTGTACAGACGAGCTTTTGAATCGGGCTCTTTATCATCCATTTCCTTTCGGGAAATTTGAAAAAGCTGCATGATGACCGTTGTTCGTCTCTGTTTAATTAAAACATTTGGTGCGCCAGTGTATTTCAACTAACAGTAGTTAGGCGAGACACTGTTTTCATGAACATACGAAGAAATCCCTGATTATTGAGATTTCTGGCTCTCATTTTTATTCGACTTCGGCACTTTTTTCTCTTCTTGTGCTTTGATTGCATTAGCGCACATAAAGTTTTTTAGAATTCTCGAATCGACCACAGACAAGTTTTATGCAAAGCATAATTTCAGTTATAAATTTACTTTCATAAAACATGCACAGACATACGTGAAACTTACTGCCACGCGTATGCATGTACGGCTTGCGTAAAAATAATATGGTTTAGAAGAAACTCAAGAATTCATTCAGCACGTGTTATGCCAAAGCCACAAACCATTTGCTCTTCGAAACCTATACACAGTTTTTTCAGTTTTCCGACGATAAATTCAAGGGTCTGATACAGTACGGCACCAGACGGGAAAATTATAGCGAATCCATTTTGGCTATTAAAAATATCAAAGAAGATAATTTCGGTGACTACACCTGCCGTGTGGCAAACAATCTTGGCACCAAACAAAAAACTATTCATGTCAGCGGTAGGCTTTTGCATATGAAGTTTTAAGTAAATGTGGCGAATTGAAAAATCAGCAGCATTTTGATAAATCATACTGTATTTATATGATATTAATTAAAAGTTACAATATACATGTGCATAAGTAAGAAAAAATCATCAATAATGGTAAAAAAGCACGTAGCAGTGATTTCAGCGACGTGACTCGTCATCCAGAAATAGCAGCTTCTTGTGGAAGCAAATATTTTTCTTCACTTCCGTAAGGAAACGATCAGGGTTGACGAATCTTCGCCTTTATGCAGGAATGCAGTATAGGATTCTAGCTTAACACTTCAAACTTGTGGCTTTGTTTGTTCTTGGACTAAAAGACTGGCACGAATTTAGCTCTTGGGTTATAAATCAACACAGAAAGAAATATGAGTTGATTTTTGATTTCTTGGCTTAGTATAAGAGCTATGAACTTTGCTTCCAGAATTATTTTATTCTTTACTTATGGTGTCCACTTGGATTTGGAGTTGAACCCAAAAATCAGCATATGTGGTGACCCAAGGGTTAGTTACAGGTTCAAGACTTCTCATGCGGCCTAGGATTTAACCCACACATTTTCAGTTTTCTAGCTGTTGGAGTTCGGAAGTTAATTTAAATAGACAGGCGGTTACACAACATAGACATAATTTTGCCATAATGGGTTTTTGTGTTGCTCCACTGGTGCGAAATGTATAAAATGCTGTTGTTGAGCTCTGGGACGCGGATTAGCTGCACTGTTTTTTCAGGGAACTGAAATTGTTGTTGTTTTCAAAAGTATGTGTTAGTTTGCTGAGTGGTTCCATCACTGGAAGCTGTGACGCTTTTACTGCCTCCATTAATAAGCAATTAATCCATCTTGTGAGCACATACTGCATCATACAGTAGAATATAAATGCACAGAAACGCAGGTGCAGAGAATGCATAATTACGAAAAAGCAGCAGTCCGATCTGTTCGCCCAGTAGCGTTGGGTTTGGCTGGTTCAAATCTCAATGAGATTTTTGAACCACCGAATGGAGCCGGAGTTTCCCGAATTTTCTACAGTTTGTTGATTCATTGCAAAGATCGCGTCTGACATTTTGGAAGTATAAACTATCTGAAGCTTCTCCTCTGTATGTCCGCTCAGAGAAGCGTGCTAAATGTTGACGTTTTTTGCTAGGAGAGCAGCGCTTATTGCTGGAGTACCATCTGTTTTCAGCCCATGCTGTGCTCTGCAAAAAGCAAGCACTGCCTTTTTTATTGTTACTTTGTGTTCTGTTTAGGTCGACCGGGACCGCCACATCTTAATGTTAGCGGAACTCGTCTCTCTTGGAGAGTGTATTCCGTGGACCCAGTAATCGAATATCAAATCTTATATCGCTTTTCCAACGATGACACCTGGCAGCAGTTCAAATCAATACGAGCAAATAAAGGTTCTGATTTTCTTTCCGGCTGTCCTTTTTTTT